AGTGCTGGGATTAAAGGCGTGCGCCACCACGCCCGGCTCTATCCTAATTAACAATAGACTATCAGAAGAGTCGTCTGTGGGGCATTTACCCAACACCCCCACAGTTCCCCAGAGTTTTCTTGAGTGCGATCAGCAGGAAATGTTAGATAGAAGGATTTATTTCGGAGAATATCGCAGAGATAAACATAGGAAATTAAGGATAGCCTCGAGAGGGCCTGGAACCTATTCCAACGGGCCCCCAACTGTCTCTGGCCCAGGGTATTTATAGAGACACCAAGGGGTGGAGCAAAAGACCTCCTCCCCCAGCACAGCCAAGTGCAGAGCATCTCAGACACCTGCACTCAGGCCTGTGGTCCTGATCATCCTCTATTCGGACCTGCTGGGTAAAGCCACGAGGAACCCGAGAATGGGCTCCCACAACACCCCCCCCTCCCCGCTCTTCAGTCTGGCCTCAGACTCTGATCCACCTGTCTCTGCCTCCCAAGTGCTGGGATTAAATGTAGGGAAAGGGGCTGGCTAATGAAACTCAGATCAGAGCCTTCTCTGCCCCTGGCCAACTGATTTGTGAAACCAACCAATCACAGAGTAGCACCCTGCCCCTCCCAGGTCCCCCCTCCCCCAGGCTCAGTGAGATCAGAAGGGGGGGGGCCTAGCCAACTGACTTGTGAGACCAACCAATCACAGAGCAGGACAGTATCACCCTGGTCCTGGGACCCAAAACCAGAGAAAGAGACATAGCTTGAGTTTGGGACCTGAGCCAGAGAAATGAACACTTTATCCCCAAACCCAGAACCAAGGAAACATGCCCTGACTCTGAAACTAGTACAAAGTAACACTCTTGGCCCCTAGAATCGGAGTCAGTGAAAGAAATGTGCCCTGGTCTTAGAGGCAGTGTCAAAAAGTCAAGAAAAGGCCAGTGAAAGAAACAGTTTGGCTCTGAAATCAGGGCCATCTCTGTCCCTAACCCACAAAACTGGCCAATCCCTGGGCAGAAAAAAACTAACCAATCACTGGTTGACTCTGCCCCCAAGAAATCTTATATAAACTGCCCTGCCTGGTCAGTTGTGGGATGTTCTCTCCTCCCTGGTAGAGGCAGCTAGTTTCCTGGACTCCTCCTTCCCAAGTTAATCTCTTTCTTTAGAGTTTTGGATGTGAAGATCTTCATTCACCAGCATAGAGAAGATCCTTGCTGTGACGTCCCTCAGTGGACAGAGCAAGAGAGAACTGAAAAAGTAACACTTTTCTCCGAGCCAGTGGAGATTGCTACATTTCTGCAGGGGTTTCCCCTTTTACAGAGTGAAGCAAAAGAAGCAACATCTTAGGCCAGAGAACAAGCTCTGCTAGGAAGCCCCCTTAAGTGGGGGCTGAGCAAAGCTCAGCTGTAGTGGCTCTCCAGGAGAGGAGCAGGATTGCTATATCCTGCGGGGAGACCATCCCCCACCACACCAGGTACAGCCTGACTCCTGAACAGTCAGGATACCCTTCCCTGCTGAAGCAGTTCCAGGCCTGACCCCCAAGCAGTCTGAAAAACTTCCCTTCCAGGGCTGAGCTGTCTCTGCAGCTCCAGTTGTCAGAGCTGTCCTAAGCAGCTCAAGTTGTTGCCTGACTCCCCAAGTAGTCAGGACACCTTTCACCAGAGTTACAAAACTTATATTGTTGGTGCCAAAACCGACCAAACCCACAGAGTTGCAACAAATTTATTTAAAGGTGGTACTCCACCACTACTCAGCTCAAAAAGATTTTTTATCCTTTCATATCATCCATTGGCTGCCAACTATGATATATAATTTTGTAAAAAGTGAGAATTACTGAGAGTGTAATATGAAATTTAAAAATAACCATGGCTGGGCTGAAGAGATGGTTCAGTGAGTATAGGCGCTTCTTGCCAAGCCTGGCAATCTGAGGCCAGCAGTTAAGAGTGCTTGTTGCTCTCCCAGAGAACCTGAGTTTGGTTCCCAGCACTGACATCAGGTGGCTCACACCCACATGAGTTACATACACACACACACACACACACACACACACACACACACACACACACACGCTGCATGTATGTGCTTCTTTTGAGACCCCACTATGTCTCGCTGGCATCAGATCTGAACTGCCACATACACACCGGGAACTGAATTCAAGTACTCTGGAAGAGCAGCCAGTGTGCCCTTGACTATGGAGCTATCTCTCCATCCCCTTAAGTAACATTTTTAAAAATTGAATTTCTGGGCCGGGCGG